CTTTTTCCAGTTACGATACCTTCAATTTTCGTTACCATTTAGTAATTTTAAGAAACCGTTTATAATTTTGCGGTACAATATCGGAATTACCATTTAGTAATTTTAAAAAACCATTTATAATTCTACGATACAGAATTTTAAGAGAAATTTAGTAAATTTGCTTTGAATGTTACTAAATTTTGTTTTCAGCAACCTTATTTCGTAAAATTACTTCATCGTAAAGTTACTTCAGTACCTTAAATCTCACGGAATTTTGCGAACATTTTTAACAGTGTACATATATATATTATTTAAAAATTTCTCTATTTCTCGATAATGAGATAAAGCATTAAAATTTATCGCGAAATCATTTAAATAATACAAATCTACCTTTCTTCAAACATTCATTGTCCGTTTCTCAAATTCATAATCGTAACCGATTTACATTAACACAGAGAATGTTATCATAATTTTCTCCATATCGATTTCCGATCAAAAATGGGTGGCATAAGAGAGGGACAACGCCGTTTCCTCGATGATCATGTTTGTCGGTAGACTGATCCGTACAGGACGGAATATATGCGGCCGGCAAAAGGAAAGAATTTCATTCTATATGCTTCACCCGACACGGATCCTGCAGGATAAAGGTATCAAGACGAATTCAATGAAGAGAGCCTACCGCCTGTTATTAAGGAACCCACGAGACCCTTCGGGATCGTTCGGCATAACAAATACCCGCCGGGGGGATCTGAATGGCGACACACGAAATCGATTATCGGGCGAGAGGCTGGACCGTACTACCTTTTTACGCTCCCCTCGCATATCAAGAGATTCGACCTTGCTCATCTTGCTAAATTGGATCGCTCAGCGAATAAATATCGCTGATTCTATAGAACGAGAAATTCGACAATCGTATTTCCTAAGTGATGCGCTGGTAACGAGTACGAAAGTCGGCGTCGCGTCGCGAGAAAACTGCAGGCATAGGGTAAACCCAGTATATACGCCGCACCTATTAAAAACTTAATTTATCAGATATTATATCTATTAAGTTTAAGTTAAATGAACTATGCCAGTAAAACTTTATACTGTTTACTATTATAAAAAAAATATTAGGAATCCAAATTATTTATTTTTTATATTAAAAATGAAATTTCTTTAAACTCTTGCATTTTTGCCTTATAAAAATAGCGATGGGTTATACGGCTACTCATGAGTGGGATAAATAACTCAAAAAATATGCAAACAATCTAAATAATAATAGTGAATAATACGTGCATTGACAACATAATTTGCATTTACTCATTAAATAAATAAAGAACGTATTATTGCAGACTGTGAATAAGTACATACATGAATGTTATGA